CGTATTCTTCTGCTGGTGATGGTACCGTGCTTTGGGTTAACACGGTTCTGGTGCGGACAGTACTGCACTTTAGGTTGGCGCGTGTACAAACTTCCAGAAATTGGTTAGAAGCTTTTTGTAACTGTGTGTTGTGTAACTGCCATTTGGCATATGATTATCGCTAAATTATACAATTTCTATGCCTATCAGCGGTATGGCTGCCTTCTCGCTATCATGCTACCAACAACTTTCCTTTTTTTTCGAATGCAGGTTATTTTAAATTTGACTCATAAGTGAAATAATGATGTTGTTTATTTGCTTTATTATATTCATTGTAATGGCTATGATTCACATCATGTGATTAACATAATGAACGCGAGCATCATGCCGCTCTCGGATAGACTCGGCCCAAGAGCGATTAGGCACGGGGAGCGACGCTCCCACGAGTGTAGCCAGCACTGCTAGATAACATAAATGAGCCATTTTCTTTTATGTTTAATACGCTATTATATGTATATCTTATTATACTTTTTATTTATTTTTAGACAATATAAGCTTCCATTGTATTAACTGCTGCCAGTATAAAGGTGGCCCTAAAATCTTCACCTGGTTTTATTATTGCTATGTTTGAGGTGGCCCTGTATATAATACACACAATCGATATATAATATAATATATAAATGTAACAGGAATGCTATGTAAATAAATTGTTTGTGTATTATTAAAATATGGTACTTGAGTTTCTTTTAACAGTGTATTTGTTGTTACCTCAAAGTGAAGAAGTTAATCGATCCAAGTGATATATTTAATAAAGCAAATTATTGCCAATGTTTCAGCAACAAAGTATCAATTACCAGTGATTAAAGTCATTTAACCGGATGGATTGCTGAAACATATATTTACAGAATATCAAACTCGAAAGTACATACCTCATTAGTTAGTAGAACAGGTGAAAGCAACTTCTGGTGCAGTCATATATCATTTAATGAAGCAGGAAGCCAACCAGCACACAAAAACCGAGGCTGCTTTATTTACGGTTTTTAGCAATCCATTCGGTGCAATAAGCCTTCAATATAATAAATAACATTATTACATTAATTATTGAATATCATTTCATAATTCCAATTGTGTTTTATAATTACACTGGCATCAAATGGACATTTTGGCGAAATCGCCCGATAGGTGGCGCTTTTTTTAATTACATTTATATTGTAATTAATTGAGAATACATACGTACATATTTGAGTATATATACACATGCGCACGTACGTAATCTCGTACTATTAATGTCGTAGGCACGAGTAAGAAAGTGAGGAAGGAAGCGAAGGAAAAGGGAGCCGCAGCGAGGGGGGGGGAATGAGAAGGCAAGGAAGAGAGGGGGAGGGGAGAATGAGAAGGCGAGGAAGAGAGGGGGAGGGAAGAATGAGAAGGCGAGGAAGAGAGGGGGGAGAAGGGAGAATGAGTGGAGGGATGGCGCCGAGGAAGAAAGAAAAAGATTATGCAGAGCGGGCGAAGAATGCATGCGGGTGGGAATTAGTGGGGCGCCAGAGAGACCGAAAAGGGGTGAAAAAGAAGGGAATGGTAAGTACGGATAGTGCGGGCGCAGGAAAAAAGGAAATAATGGAAGAAAAATGCGGAAGAATGGAAAGAGAGGAAATGATAAGGAAAGGGAATTTTGTCGACGTCGCGCGTACGTGCGGCGTGCATAATATGTGTGTACGTGGAATTGTTGCGTACGTGCGCGTGCTCTCCTCTTGCCTCTCTCTCTCTCTCTCTTACCACACGCACACACACGCACGCGCGCAGCACACAAAACACACAAACACACACACGCACTTCGCCGCGCCCGCGCACACAAACACACACGCGCCGCGCACACACACAGGATACACATATCTTCATATGTTTACGTGCGTACGTATGTATAGGTCACACCGTCACATATCACACGTCTGATGATTGAAGCCAAGGTCTGACAATCAGTTCCACCATACACACGTATGTGATGTGTGTGTGTGTTGTGTGTGTGTTGTGTGGTGTGATGTGTGTGTGTGTGTTGTCTGTGGGTGGCGTGGTGTGTGTGGTGTTGTGTGTGTGTGTGGTGTGTGTGTGTTGTGCTGTATGTGTGTGCTGTGTGTGTGTGTGGTGTGTGTGTGTGTGAAGTGTGTGTGCTGCGTATGTGTCGTATGCATAGATATGGTCTGTATGTATGTATGTGTTGTGTATGTTATGTAGTATGGATGTATGTAGTATGTATGTATGTATGTACTGTATGTTATGGTATGTATGTATGTATGCGTGCGTGCGTGCAGTGCGTGGCGTGCGTGCGGTGCGTCCGTGCGTGACGTGCGTACGAACGTACGTACGTACGTACCGTACGTATGTATGTATTGTATGGTATGTATGTATGCATGCATGTATGAGCTATGGTATGTTTAGTATTTACAATTAATTAAGATATAAATGTAATTAAAATATGCGCCACCTATCGGGCTAATTTTGCCAAAAATGGTCCATTTGATGCCAGTGCTATTATAATACACATTTGGAATTTATGAAATGGTATAATTCAGTCAAGCAATTAATAGGTACTTCATTTATAATGAAGGCCACATTGGGCCACCGAATTAATGCCTAAAAACTCAGTAAATAAAACTGTTCAGCCCATACCTGATTGCATATCCACAACCGGTATAACGTCGCTTGAATCGGCACTTGCATCCGATTCCGCGTACAATCACGAAATAAACTTACTTTTACACAACAGTCTATAGCAAACAATACACAACCTGCAGTCGCCCCCGAATTACGTAATCCTTACTCTGCTCGCGTTGTAATTGTATGTCTGTGTGTGTGCGCAGTCCGCGCATATTGTGGCGCGTGTGGTGCCGGCCCGTGTATGTGCGTGCCTGTGTGTATGCGCGGCACGCGCGTGTTATGTCGGTGTGTGCGTGTGCCTGCGTGGTGCCGCCGCCTGTTGATGTGCGTGCGCGGTGGGTGTGTATGTGCGTGCGCCGCGTGGTGCTGTTATGTTGCCGTGCGCGCGTCGGTGTGTGATATGTGCGTGCGTGTGTGATTATATGAGCGCACGCCGCGTGTATTCGCGTATGTTCGTGTGCCGCCGAATGTGCGCTTGCATGTGCGTGCGTGATGTGTGTATGCGCGCCACGTCGCGTGTGTTGCTGCGCGCATGCGCGTTTATTCGCGTATGTTCGTGTGCCGCCGTGTGCGCCCGTGTATGTACGTGCGTGCGCGTGTGTGTGTGCGCGCGTGTATGTGCGTGCGTGTGTGTATGCGCGCACGCGCGTGTATTCGCGTGCCTGTGTGTGTGCCGCCGTGTTCGCGCGCGCGCGCGTGTGTATGCGCGCACGCGCCTGCATCCGTGTGTTCGCGCGCACGCGCGTGTTCGTGCGCGTGTATTGCAGCGCTTGTACTGTGAGCAGCACGGCAACCTGTGTGTAAGCCGGGGCTTTGTTTAGAAGCTAGCACTATCTTGACGTTGAATATATTTAAAGTTGTGCAATGCATTTCTTTGATTGCCGTAGCTAACACAGCAATATTTTTGTGAAGTGGCATTGCATGTAAGATGTTGCATTATTATATATTTACGCTAGTGCAATGTAATTGTTAGTATAAGATTGCTCACGGATAATATATTCAGACAATGGCAATATAAATGGTTTATTAAATTAGCTGAAGCGGCAATATATTTGTATATCAACAATGCATTTAAATTTATGAATTTTGGCGGTAAGCCCCCATACATACAACCAGGGGAAAAGGACCCATGGAATCTTGCGTGAACGAAATGAATGATATGCCATATATACCGTTGTACCTGGTAGACGCACGATGCGCTGTCGCTTTTAAATCTACAAGCCCGTCCCAAGGGAGGTGGCATGACAGTACTTAATTTTTTTTTCTGGCGCGAAGTCCTTCCCGTACTATAAGTACTATATACACACATGATCATCTTATGGCACCTCTGCTCTGCCCTGACCCCCGCTAAATAATAAGTCGACTGATCATATCTATTCTAGCGAAGCAAAGTTCTCAAAAATGAGGTCATGTTACAAGTATCACGAGATAATACAATTTATTAATTTAAAAATAAATACACAATTTCCATACACATTTACAATACAATACAATTACAATTACAACACACATATTACAATACACAATTAATCCGCGCGACAGAAGTATTCGAGAGACATTAGTATTTGAGAGCTTCCTCATGAATAATCCACGGCAAAGTGTAGGTCATTGCTTCTTCCTCTGTCACGCTGTCTCCGCTGTTAGAGTTGTGACTTTCCAGAAGCTGCCTAAAGCTGCGTTTACACTATCGATTTTTGTCCCCACCCCCCGCCCCCGCCCCCCCCCTCCGCTCCCCCCCCCCCCCCCGCCCCCCCCCACCCCCCCCCCCACCCCCCCCCCCCCCCCCTCCACCAAGCAAATCGTAGCGATTTCAAGTGCATTCCAACTTGCCCCCGACTTGACCGAAGCGCATTCCAAGAAATTCGATTGTGTTGGAGTCGGAGTCGGAACCAAGTCGCCGAGTTGGAGAAATAGAACGTGTTCTATTTCGCCAACTCCAATACAATCGAATTTCAGCCAGTTGTATTGGAATGCACTTGAAATCGGTACGATTTGCTGACAAAAATCGAGAGTGTAAACGCAGCATAAGGCATTTCCTGTCATCTACACTCTTAGCACGCATGGCATGGCTGTGATTGGTCTTTTCTGTGAACAGACCACGTATATGTAAACGTGTGCAAGTATATTTTTATGATTTTTATATGTGATACAAGTTCGCCTAAAACTGCTCTGGTCTGATCAGCTTTGTGCATGAATGAAGCACCATTATTTGTGACAGTTTGGATTTTTGCTAATCTTTTTGTGTCATAATACAGTGAACCTTTGCTTATTAGTTTTATTACAGTAAACTTGCGACACACAACGATTTGCATCTGGCAGTCATTAGTAGGCTGCAAATAATCCATATTTGGATTGTGTGACAGTGTCAGTGGTTCGGAGCATCAACATATNCAAAAATCGATAGTGTAAATGCAGCATAAGGCATTTCCTGTCATCTACAATCTTAGCATGCATGGCATGGCTGTCATTGGTCTTGTCTGTGAACAAAACCACGTATATATATTAAACGTGTGCAAGTTAGTATATGTTTATGATTTTTATATGTGATACAAGTTCGACTTCATTCATGCACAAAGCTGATCAGACCAGAGCAGTTTTAGATTAGTAAAAATCCAAACTGTCACAAATAAAGGTGCTGTCACAAGTTTACTGTAATAAAACTAATCAGCAAAGGTTCACTGTATTATGACACAAAAATGCAGCCTACTAATGACTGCCAGATGCAAATCGTTGTGACGAACCACTGATACTGTCACACAATCCAAATATAAATTATTGATGCCCAACATATGTTAAACGTAAATTTAAATCTATTAGCTCAATTTTTTACTGTACGTGTATGCCACTAACATGCATGAGTGACTATGTGCTATCCACTCACCACTGCTTATCCTAACAATGAGATGGTGTATCGCAGCAACAGTCATCTCTATATCTGCCTCTGTACCTTGAATCGCCACACATTTCCTGTCTAAATTGTGCAACAGGTCATTTATTAGTATATGTGACACATAATACAGGGGGTTAATAATGATAAATTTGACATTATTAACCTCTGATAATACCTGCATGTGATGTTAATAAAGTTCCGAAAACTCAAGGATTTCTCAATGTTTAATTAAACACGTGAATATATACTTGCACGACTCTGAACGGATTAAAAAACAAGAGCCGCAGAGCGACTAGGCTCATTTGTGTTGCTACGGTTATGAACGTAAAATTTCAGTCGTGCGTAGTCACACATTTGTCAAGCGCAAATATGCAGATACGCAGTTGCGTACACATAATTTCAGCAACCTTTTGAATTCTGCATACCTCCCAAATCACATTGGTTGATACAAATCGCATGCCTGAAACTCCTGTTTTATGGTGCATTGTGACCCTAACCATATTTAAAAAAAAATAGTTGTAAATAAATCATGTAAATATTTGCATTAATTGGAAAAAAATAGTTAAATGGATAAAAATAGAAAAATACAGAAAACAGGTAAATAATAAAAAATCTGATGGCATTCGATCCAAGGACCTTTGAGCCGCTTCTACATGAACATGACTATGTCAGATGAGATAAAAACCAAAAACATCCACATGGTACTCTCACACGATATGTGCATTAGTTTATACCCCTCGCAGCTGCCTGAATCTCCTCAATCCATAGATCTTCGACTTCGTCGCCAGAGTCTATGTGAAGGAGACTTAACCAATGCTGAAGGTCAGCCTGGCAAGCTTCCAACTTCTCCATATTCTGAAAAATTTGTTGTTCAGAAATATTAATATCTGCTTCAAGCTGAAATATTCTTTCTTGGTATGGAAATGTATCTGCGTATGCACATGTGCACATACAGTGTAAGCACATTGTAACGCGATAGTTGGGGTCCATAAAATGTCATTGCGAAAAAAGCGAGGTCGCAGTAAATATGGGTTATATATATATACGTCAGGAGTAGATAATAGGGAAGGAGTGTGACATCAATAAACAAAGGAAATTCGTCATTTACTAGCTTTAAAATATCTACGATTTACTACGCGTAACTCATCCAACTTGAGCTCAAATCGTACACGGTACATTCGCCTAGCATCGTGCGAAATCGTTTCCTCGTATACACAAGCAATCCGGAGATACAGACTAAAACGTACGACACGATTATCTATTCTTTGACCATCAATCCGAGCCGACTGCCCGCCTATATTCAAACAAAGGGCAGCTACTAATGCGCTATTGCTAACTCGGCAGGCAATGTGGCTCGCTGGGAGATTTGAGCCCGATCTGCTGCTGATTGCGGTTGGCGTGCGTGCGTGGGGCATGCCAGCTGTATGCCGGTATGTAGCTGTGTACCGGGGCAAAGGTTATCTCGCCGAGTGTTGCGTTGATGCCTAATCTCCCAGCGAGCCACATGCCTCGCCGAGTTAGCAATAGCGCGGTAGTATCGGCTCGGATTGATGTCCAAAGAATGGATAATCGTGTCGTACGTTTTAGTCTGTATCTCCGGATTGCTTGTATATACGAAGAAACGATTTCGCACGATGTTAGGCGAATGTACTGTGTACGATTTGAGCTCAAGTAGGATGAGTTACGCAGAGTACATCGCAGGTATTTTAAGGCTACTAAATGACGAATTTCCCTTGTTTATTGATGTCACACTCCTTCCCTATTATCTACTCCTGATATACGTAGGTATATAAGAGCAAAAAAAAGCGGTCCAACGACTCATCGCATTACATCCGAATTCGCTTTAAAGCCGCATTATGCGCATCCAAACGCTAATTTCTCCAGTACTAGACTAGTAAATACTTCGTGTCATGCATAATCACACTACCTTATGACAAAATAAACTCTAGTTCCTCCCATTTCACTGCGCGTTGTCTTATAAAAGGCATTTGAAAATACCTCCAATGTTGTTCAAATTCTCCGATGTTGTTGACACTTTCGCGTTGCTCTGCCAAGCAACCGTGGAGCGGTGCTGCGGTACAGCGGTACAGGTGTAGCAAAGATAAAAACATGTGACGTCACCTAACCGATTCTTGGCGAAATTGTTTGGCAAACAATTTAGCGTTGGCGTCAGATTACCAGATTTCGCACCTCCTTCTTGTGGGTTTTAAGCAAACGCGCACTGAAATGCGAGGAACTAGGGTTTATTTTGCCATAAGATAGTGTGATTATTATGCATGACACGAAGTATTTGCTAGTATAGTACTGGAGAAATTAGCGTTTGGATGCGCATAGTGCGGCTATAAATCGGGTCGCACAAAAGCGGGGTTCCACTGTACCTTCACATATCTAACCGCCAGTGCCCGTGACATGCCTCTGATTTTACGCATATTCCAGAAGAATGCAGCATTTGTCAGCTCGTCCTCACGTCCTGAAATTGAATCATGAAGTTATGGCTAGATCTTGGAGAAAATAAATAATACTTACCATAATGTGAACAAAGTTACGATGCGAGCCGATAGTTTTTCTACTTTGGCACTATGCAAGTTGCGAAAATGTGAACATGCATGCATGGCAGAAATTCACCAATCCACGGGACTGCGTTAAGTTGGGGAGCAGGTAACGTTTAAAACATTTTCACCTCTGTTTAAAAGAGAAAGCATCACCTGAAAATAGTAACAATATGAAAAAAATTTGCAGTACTCATGACAATGCCTGGAGTTTGAGAGCCTGCGCATATACGGCTTACAAATGTGATCATACATGGATATTAAAAACCGAAGAATAAAAAATAAAATAAATCCCTACCTACCTAGGTACCCTACTTTTGTTTTCGATACAATAGGAAACACACCTATTTTTTTGTTTGGCCTTAACAAAATATATTTTTTTTCTCATATTTAATTTTTTTGACTTTACTTATTCCTATCGACAAAACGAGCACTCTTATCAAAAATCAGAGACAGTTTTTCAGGTCTGGTATCCCTCTTTCATTTGACGCTTTCAGCAGATCGAATGCATCAAACACTGTGAGGTATTTTTTTTTCAAACATAGAAGGTTGAATTTTAACAATTTTATTTCAAATTTGGTTTCATAGTATTACGTATACTTTGATACATACATTTATAAATATTTCATCCAATTCCCTCTCATATATGTGATATGTGTATCTTTCTAATAATTACTCGCCTATGAATTTGCTTCAAAGAAAACCCTTGCTTAAATCTTCAATTATCCTTAAAACCTGGTCACTGTATTATGTCTGCAAAAATGTGGTAACATGCAGGCGTACTAGAAGACTGAAAATCTCCAGCTGCTGAGAATTATCCTCAATAATCTGTTTTGCTTCGACAATGAGCTCAAAGATGCTATATTGTTATGATATTGCAACTGTTTATGGTCTACATTGCACTGAACAGTAACAGCAGCGCCGCAGAAATTTCCAGTACTACACGCCTGTTCTATTCACAAAAGAGAGATAACTAACCTGTCTTGAACTTCCTGTCGAGTTTGTGTATGCGACGAGGATGGAGTGGAATCATTTTCCTGAAAATTAAAGAAGTACAAACTATACTTTCAAACACAGACAGGCAAAATAAGTGTAACAAACCAACATTTAAAAATTCAGAGCGGGAACCTCATGAGCTATGCAATGCCCATCTTCTCCTAAAGCTTTTCATACAAAAATGATTTATAAATACTGTAAAGTTACTTTTTTATGGATGGAGAAATACAGACATTTTCGTGGATATATGAATTTATGGAACAAGACCTTTGTACAAAGTGAAAAGGGACTATATTCTAATGGAAATCAAAACTTACAAGATGTTTTGAAGGACACCATTCATGAAATTAGATGTCACACTATTCTTGACGGAACATATGTCATGATGTTTAGGGCTTTCGTTATCCAGAGAGCTTGTGCATGAGTATTTGCTAGCTCGGGTATTTGATACGCAATCACCCGACTGACACACAGATTAGACTAGTTCAAAATGATGCTGCAGCTTCCGTAGTTGACTCAATGTCAGGCTGTGTCAGCAACCTTGGCAAACTGCCTATGATTTGTGACAGAACTTTTTCTTAACAAAAAAGGTATTCTTCATAGATTAAAAAGAAATAATTGAAAAATACCTACCATTTGGGACACTGGCAAAGTGCTACCATGTGCTAGGGGCCTTTGTCGCCTGATTTGGACCTTAACATATAACACAAGCTAATTAACTACTGCTTGCTGAAAAAACAAACAAATCAATACATATATATACACAGGCTTTCATTTTTAAGGGGCGCGATCGCGCTCGCGCTCCACCGCGCACCATAAATTGCGCCATGGTGCGCGCATCATCACGCCTCATAAAAGTGGTTGAAATCGCGCACCAAAAGTCTGTGTATTATGTTGAAATAGCGCTCCCATTTTACAGAGCAAAGAAATCTCCGGCGATGCCCGCGAATTCCCCGATCGTTCACAGTCCGCCAGGTCGATTTTGTGAAACGTCCTAAAATCCGTTGAGAGAAAATTTAGGGGGGGTGTAAATGACAAATGTCATTTACAGTCCAACAGCCTACCTAACAATAACCTTCATTTAATACCATGTAATAAATAAAAATGTTGCTTTATAATATACGACAACCTTATTCATCTGTTTGAGATTGTCCAGACGTATGCCAGTGTGTGCGTTTATTATGAACGTCTGCAAGTGTGTTGGTTTGTATGCGGCGCGTCGCAAGCAGCCCGATATTATATTAACGCCGAGTCGATCGAGTCCGCTCGTAATCAAAGAGCCACCCGGTACCGGCCTGAACTATTTCACCTGCCACATAGAGTTGCAATGAGCCGTCGCGGAGGCTCCTGACTGGAGAGTATCTTATTCTAGCCTCAACTCTTGTGTTCCAGTATCAAATGAAGAAATGCAGCTTTCATAAATCAATCCTTCGTCGTAATTTAAAACAATGCAGACCTTTAAAGGGTTGATTTTAGTAGAGCTCTCCCATTCATTGGCCTTCTAAGTGTGATTTTTAAAATGAGCTCTCCATTATGCCTCTAATGGTGTGATATGGGAGCGTGAAAAGTCCCCCAGTGTGTTCTACGGGAGTGGAGTCAACTAGTAGTCCTCCTGTACTTTTCAACAATCCTGAATAGCCCTGTATACACCCTTTTGATGCTGGTTTAAAACTGTCTAACTAACGCAAACAACGCTAGCAAGAGAGAAGAGAGACAGAGACGAGAGAGCAAGAGAGACGAAAAGAGAGAGAGAGAAGAGAGAGAGACAGAAGAAGAGAGAGAGAGAGAGAAGAGAAGAAGAAAGAAGAGAGAGAGAGAAGAGAAGAGAAGAGAGAGACGAGAAGAAGAGAGTAGCAGAAGAGAGGAGAAGACAAGAGAGAGAGCAGAGAGACGAGAGAAGACGTAGAGACGGAGAGGACCGAGAAGAGAGAGAAGACGAGATGAGGAGAGAAAGTAGAGAGAGAGAGAGAGAGAGAGAGACGAGAATGAGAGAAGAGAGAGAGAAGAGAGCGAGCAGGAAGAGAGAGAGAGAGAGAGAGAGAAGAGAGAGCGGAAGAGAGAGAAGAGAAGAACGAGAGCACAGACGAAGAGAGAGAGAGCCAGCAGCAGAGATAACAAGAGGGAGAGAGGAGAAAGAGGACTCTCTAGACTTAACAATACCACCCCTTCTTTATCAGAATAACAAATCCTATCTTTTATAAAAGTTTTGGTTGCATGTTTAACGCCTATATACATCTGTGAGTGTATGCATATGCATATGTGTGTGCAGGTCTGTTTGAGAGTGTGCTTGTGACATATGCATGTTCTCCCTATTGAATTTTTCAAGGTGTATTATCCAGCTAAACGTTTACACTGCCACCACTGCTGTACTCATACCTGCTGGAAACATTATCACCATCTGAGACGTTTCTGCGAAGATGTTCATTTATGGTTGCTTGTGCTTTGCTTTTGAACATATTTAGGGTGATACTCCATTAGGAGTGTTCCCAACTTTAATGTCATTAATACATACATTAGTTTGTGGTTTAATGTCATTTAGGTTATGGTTAGTGGTATTACTGTTTCTAAAGTGAATGTGCAGTACTACCATGCACCTACACTTCCTGGGAAAACCTGTGTTGTAAGATGTGATGTGATGTGATGTGTTGTGTTGTGTTGTGTTGTGTTGTGTTGTGTTGTGTTGTGTTGTGTTGTGTGTGTGGTGGTGTGGTGTGTGTGTGTGTGCGTGGGTGTGTTGTGGTGGTGTGTTTTGTTGTGTTTGTGTGTGTGCTGTGTGCAGGCTAGTGAAGCACATATATACAAATCTCACCTCGGGTGTCTCCTGCAGTCCCTCGTACCAGCTTCCATTGCGCTGCAACGCACAAAAATTGGTATCTTGAACGCTGTGAATTCAAACTTCTGGGAAATCTGTGTTAGTAAGATGTGATTGTGATTGTGTTGTTTCGTGTTGTGTGTGTGCGTGTTTGCACTAGTGAGCACATATATACAAATCTCAACCTTCGGGTTTCCTGCAGTGCCTCTCGTACCAGCTTCCATTGTCCTCGCAACCACAAAAAGTATCTTGAACCGTGAATTCAAACTTCCTGGTGAAATCTGTGTTGTAAGATGTGATGTGATGTGTTGTGTTGTGTTTGTGTGTGTGCGTGTGTGCAGCTAGTGAGCACATATATACAAATCTCACCTCGGGTGTTCCTGCATCCTCATACCAGCTTTCCATTGCCTGCAACCATAAAAAGGGTATTAGAACCGTGAATGCATGTCAAAAATATCAAATATCAGCAGGGATGGAAAACAACACTCACCATGGAAAGTGATGTTTTGGTGGAGGAAAATGGATATTGCTACCTTACATTCCCTGTGGGTGGGCATGTTGAAAAATGGTTTTCTAATTGGACAATGGATGACATGAATAGTCCAGGGTTCAACTTTGATTTGTGCATGATTTCAAAGAAAAAGATCTTGAACAAGTTTGGCCTATCATTGCAACGTGCTTACTTACAAAGGGCAATTTCAGTTATACAATTTAATTTTTTCTAAACAGAAATCGATCCAATTTATCTAGTCTATAACCTGTACTAGAATTTCATTTCTTTAAACGAAAAATAGATGGCTTCCCTTTATTTATAACTCCTACAATATCAAAGCACCATTCCGGTTAGACAGATGTCATTTATTCATTGCTTAATTACCTGGAATAGCAATCAACATAGGGGCATAACTCTGGAAAAATGTGTCAACCCGAAATACAGCAGCAATATGCGCAACTTCACTTCATATTGAACATGTCCAGTAACTTTCACTTCAATCGGATTGGTAGTTTTGGAGTAGTCGTGCAGACAAGATGTAGTGAAGGAAATTGAGCCAAAAATAATCAAATGGGTTTATCTCTGGAAAATTGCATCAAACCGAAACACAGCATCTATATGAACAGCTTCACTTTATATTGAACCTTTCAACCAACTTTCATCTCAATCGGAGTTGTAGTTTTGGAGGAGTCGCGCAGACAAAAGTGTGACAGACAGATGGACAGACAGACAGAAAGCATTAAAACAATATATCTCCCCTGTTAAGGGGGAGACATAATATTAAACTAATAAATGTACAGTAAAGAAAAAATTGCACACTCACAGGTAAGGCAATAACTTCTGAATCTTCAGGCAGTGGAGTACTGGGAATGAAAGGCTGTAAAACCAAGAAATCATTTATATAAAAAATCTGCAGTACAGCTCTTAAAAACTGTCAACCATTATTTCATTCTAATATAATCACACAAATTTCATTTCTGACCTAAAACGTCACTGTAAACTTTACAAGGAATCTGCATGGATGCCAATATTTGGTGAGATTTTTATTTGTGTGCATAGCGAACACAGAGAGGTTTATTCTGTTCAAGGAATATATAATCATATCTAAAATTTTGCCAAAAACAGGAAAAGAAACATTGCAGCCACAAGCTTGTAAAGTGTCTGCTACGGTGGCTGGACAGACATGACACTATAGTATACAATGAAATGATGGAGACAAGAGACGTTTATTGAATACTCACAGAGGCAGCATATGCATGGTCAGCAGAGAATGTGGCACTGGTACTCGGAGGCTGCGAACGGAGTACTCGAGCACTAGCAACCTAAATATAGAAGAGAAAAACTGATTATTCTTTGCTCATTCCTTTATAGGGGTGTATACTAGAAAAATATGAAAAGTGAAGAAAAGGTAAACAATGAAAACCTAGACCAAAATATAAAAACCTACTTAATAGTTTCAGAATGTAGCTAATTATATAATATTAATTTATTATTTTACTCTGAATCAAGACATAATATACAAAATCAAAGTCATTGGTTTATACTAAGGTCCTCATTGATAATATTATTAATGATTTCTTGTTATAGCAGAGCTATATTGTTTTCTATCGTACTGTTTGGAATCATAGAATACAGCCTTTGGACATCATTCTTAAACATTTCATTTAACAAACCAGTGAACAGGCTGCACACTTGGCAATCTGCTGAAAAACATATCTAAACATTCCAGTCATCTCTGGATATAAAAAAAAACACTACTTAAAAATGGAGAAAACGTGATACTTACAGGGTGCACAAATAAACGGAGGTTTCCATCTATGGTACTTGATCCGTCAAGTTCTCTAATTCCCCCACTCGAATGATATTTCAAAATGAAATGTCTTGGGGTACTTTCCTGACACCCCACAAAGCGATACACGTCCTAAAGCAAGAAATGAACAATATTTAGACAATTCATAAATTCAAATCCAAAATTTAAACCTGTACAGGTGCTACAGGTTAACATCAGATATCGTTTAAATAGAACTTCATTATAAGAACATTATGGCAATAATGAGCCACACAGCTACACAGGCCACCTCTGCACATACCTGGCATGCCTTCACGCACGCACGCCAACCGCAATCAGCAGCAGCTGATCGGGCTCAATTCTCCCAGCGAGCCACATTGCCCGCCGAGTTGGAAAACTGTGGTTATAGGTAGCTGCCTTTTGTTTGAATTAGAGGCACGCAATGGCTTTGGATTGATGGCCAAAGAATGGAGAATCGTGTCGTACGTTTTAGTCTGTATCTCCGGATTGCGGGTGTATACGAGGAAACGATTTCGCACGATGGTAGGCGAATGTACTGTGTCCGATTTGAGCTCAAGTTGGATGAGTTATGCATAGTAAAATCGTAGGTATTATAAAGCTACTAAATGACGAATTTCCCTTGTTTATTGATGTCACACTCCTTCCCTATTATCTACTCCTGATTTCATGTATCTCTCTTGAATAATATGAAGATTATATCGGTATCCCTTCCTCCCTTAGACTAGACAATAAACAATACAACAATCCCAGAATAAAATAAGCATGCACCTACACTAGTCACCGCTGACACATTATAACCAAATAGCATTCAAATCGGTCAATTGTTGTTTTGACGAGTTGCACAAATACAGTCTGGACATAAGCTAGCTTAATCATCCCTCCCAATTGTTTGTATAACTTCATACACATTTCAAATAAATTCACTTGGTTGCAATAAACATGCCGTTTATATGAACATTTTAATATCGTTGACAAAATTACCAGTATAATTTCAATATAAACATTATTTCACATACCTGATGTGAAACATCAGAGATGAAAATTCTGTTGATCGACAGTCCATTCGGGAACATAAACCTCAAGGCAATGCCAACTGCTGGCTCTGGCTCCAACATAAGCCTCCGTTCAGCTCGTAGCTGTAGTGGTGGAAAACGTATGTGTAAATGTCAACTCCACTTGCTATTTTACTCACTGGGCATCATACGGTGCACTGAAATTTGTCCAGTGATTTGTGATGAAACAGTAAAAGAAATATTCAAATGGACCAACAGGCTAACTACATCAGCTGGAAATGGCTTTAGGAATTGAATAAAATGTTTTAGACAAACATCTGTAAAAATGGCCAGAAACAAGTATTTCCATAGATCAATTGGTGCATGACAATATTCTATAACACTTATTAAGTTTAAATTAGTAACTTTCTGGTAACAAACATATAATAGAACAGTTACCTGTTTCATAGCACCATCCACTTCAACCAACAAATTTTCCTGTTGTGAAGAGCAATGGATAAAAAGCATTTTAGAAACATGAATGTCGATATATGTCACCCTATACGATGCATGTTTTGATGTACATAAACAATGCAAAACAGTGAAACCCAACCTGCAAAGGCAGAATATAAATATTGTCTGCATGAAAAGTGAAAGAGCAATAAGGTTTTCTATATTCCTATACATTTTTGGTAATGGCAGAATAAACACAGAATGATGTATCAAAAATATTTTCAGAACTAATTGCCTAACATGGGATTTCAGCAGTTATTAATACTTTCATAGGAATAAAGGAACGCATTCCCAAGCCTTCTGTAGTCCCGAGTCTGCGGGACTGCTGTTTTTGGACTCAAGGCAATGTTTTTCGTATAAAGTCACATCACGTGGTCAGTGCTTTTTCCCAGATGTATAGTAAACAGAAAATCTTGAGCATTTCAAAAAGGTTACGGTTTGAAGGACAATCATATGCTCTAAATGACACCATACATGGTCATCAATAAGTAAACTGTTTTGTGATTGGTTGAATGGCATAAAAATGGCATTATTAGATATCCAAAACATCAACACCATTTGTTCAGAGCAAGTAGTCCATAGGTGCACAACTACACTATAGCTATAGTCACTGATGAATCATACAAAGTTGCATTTCAATCAGTTTCTCAATAAGTCTATTCATATTTTAAATTTGAATTTATTTTTATATTTATTGGAATTTGGCTTTCAGGCTTGTGAGTTGGAAACGATATGTGGAGGCCATATTTGATTATGACATGGATAACTTCGTTAAGGGAAAGGGGGGGTATGAAGAGGGACGGAGAGAGAGAAAGAGAGAGAGAGTGTGAGAGAGAGGAAGTTAAGAAACAGATGGAGAAAGTGACGCATACGGCAGCTATTGGTGATCGCTAAAACATTATTACTCACGTCCGGTAGTTGTCATGGCCAGCTGGTCTTGCCTGGAACAAGTTCTCGCTTGAGGCATTTGTGGGCTATGGGGAAAAAAATTTTTGAATTGAATATACATAACGTATACATACATAGAAATGGCCTCTTTCTTTTTCAAAATCTGACTTAACAATGATATTTATTCATTGTTTACCTCACGCTTCGACCCCTCCACCAACATTATATATTTGTTGTTCACTAAACATTTTGTTGTGTTTTTGTTGTGCAGACAAGATGTAGTGAAAGAAATTCAGCCAAAATCAACAAAAGGGCACAACTCAAGGAAATTGCAACAAACTGAAACACAACAACGAGATGCCAACTTTACTCCACATTTTGAATCCTCGACGCGTCTCAGGCCTGGTGAGTTGGAAACGATATGTGGAGACCATAATTTGATGTTATGACATGCTTAACTTCGTTAAGGGGAAGGGGCGGGGGGTATGAAGAGGGACGGATGAGAGAGAGAGAGACGAGAGAGAGGAAGAAGAGAAGAGAGAGAGAGAGAGAGAAGGAGAGAGAGAGAGAGAGAGAGAGATGAGAGAGAGACGAGAGAGAGAGAGAGAGAGAGAGAGAGAGTGTGAGATAGAGGCAGTTAAGAAACAGATGGAGAAAGAGGCATAGGCAGCTATTGGTGATCGCTAAACATTATTACTCACGTCGGTAGTTGTCATGGCAGCTGGTCTTGCCTGGAACAAGTCCTCGCTTGAGGCATTTGTGGGCTATCGGGAAAAAAATTTGAATTGAATATACATAATTTCGGTATACATACATGAAATGGCCTCTTTCTTTTTTTCAAATCTGACTTAACCAATGATATTTATTCATTGTTTACCTCACGCCTTCGACCCCTCCACCAACATTATTATTTGTTGTTCCACTAACATTTTGTTGTGTTTTTTGTTGTGCAGAGCAGATGTTAGTGAAAGAACATTCAGCGCAAAATCAACAAAAGGGCACAACTCAAGGAAATTGCAACAAACTGAAACACAACAACGAGATGCACAACTTTACTCCACATCTGGAATCCCTCGAACGGTCTCAGGCCTGTGAGTTGGAAACGATATGTGCGAGACCATATTTGATTTATAAAAAATTGATTAAAATTTAATGTATATGTCATAAATATAAATATTTTTTGACATGCTTAATTCGTTAAGGGGAAGCGGAGGAGGGCGGCGTATCGAAGAGGGACGGCAGAGAGACGAGAGACGAGAGAGAGAGAGACGAGAGTGAGGAGAGAGGCATGTTAATGAAACAGATGTGAGAAAGGAGCCATAGCGCAGCTATTTGGATGATCGCCTAAACATATTACTCACGTCGGGTAGGTTTGTCATGGCAGCTGGTCTTCTGGAAAGCAAGTCCTCGCTTGCAGGCATTTTTGGGCATCAGGAAAAAAATGTGAATTGCATGAATATACATAATTTCGGTATATACATACATGAAATGGCCTCTTTCTTTTTCAAATCTGACTTAACAATGATATTTATTCATTGTTTACCTCACGCTTCGACCCCTCCACCAACATTATTATTTTGTTGTTCCACCAACATTTTGTTGTGTTTTTGTTGTGCAGACAAGATGTAGTGAAAGAAATTCAGCCAAAATCAACAAAAGGGCACAACTCAAGGAAATTGCAACAAACTGAAACACAACAACAAAAGCAAAATTGTTCAGCTGTTGAAGTACAACTTCATAGCACTATTTAAATTTGCAATTCAGTTTTACAGTAACCTTAAACATTTGCTTATATAGCATTACACAATGAACAAATCTTGGGAATAAAATCTCTAAAAATTAGCATCTCATTCTTGTGTCTATGATTTGATGCAACCACATACATGTCAATTATAGTTTCATCTCAATCAGATAAAAACTGTAGTCAAAAAGGTGCAGACAACCATATTTTTCAAAATTAGCTCATTTGAGTATCTCCAACATAAAAATGTTCAATTAATTTATTAATGATGAACTCACCAACTGTAGTTCAATCAATGGCCTAATATAGATAATGGAAACATTCCTGCTTTTCTTGGCCAATTGAAGTGGGTCGAGTTCAGCCCGGAACAACGCTGGACAGTTTGTCCCCTCTGTGAACGCGTTTAATTCCCTGCTGTGGCCCAAAGTATAGTGGTATGTCCACTCATGGCCATTCAGACATCGGAATGTTTCCCTCAAGTGGTCCTCAAACTCGTCCGCGGACATGCTTTTCGGGAACTTACTTCCCACTCTGACCCCTCCGGAAGTAAGTCCACCCAGCTCTCTGTCGGGAATTCCTGTGACAAAAAAGAAACAGAAAAAATATGAGTAGATCGAGTTGTGTGTTGTGGTTTTGCCGTCACCTGTTGTATTTAAGTTTTGGGACAGAAACCCTGAAGAATGTCAAAGGAATAGTTGTTGCAGCATTCACTTTATCACAAGGATGGCTCCCGAAGAGTGTTGTTTGAATACTCAATGAAATGGCAGCTTGACAAACGGATTATATATCCCGGGTTTTGCGTGTAACGTGTGCAATCGCTGTTAATGTCCGAATTGCAAGTAAGCAAACGAACTCATGTTGACAAATTACTACATATATTTCCCTTAAAATAAACTGAAATAAAAGCCAAACAATATCAAAAAAATTAATATATATAGCTGTCATTCTTTATTTTGTACAAAAAATGAAAGCGAAATTTCAGATGATGCAGTAGCCTAGGCTAGTCTGTCATCACTTCATAACTTTACGAATTGCACAATGATAATTTCGACGTTGATTCGGTTTTTCAAACATTCTGCATAATCAAATATTTAGTGAAATCCACTGTATAGGAATTCAGAAATCTTTGATGCTTTTGAGTATATGTGCTTTTTATAGTGATGGGAATCGGCTGGAATTTCATAATCGATTATCGGTTCCCTTTAACCGATCGATAATCGATTATAATTGGATAATCGGTTAATAATAGCATTGATTGAATTTAATCTTACTTTGGCTGAGAGCTAGGGTCTATGTCCCCCGGGGTACTGCCGGAACGTACCCTGGGTACGGGGTGAAAAATGGGTGCTTCCATCTTTAATATTAAGACACTTAAACGTACGCGCCATCTCGTGGCAACTTTTATACCGATCCCAACGAACATTCCTTTGAGAAGGTTCCTGATACCATCCCTGTGCCTTCCACGGTTTCGGCGTGTATGTGAACACATTTGGGACTAACAGGGTTTACTAGAATCCCACCACTCCACCACAGAGTCACCGCAGTAGACGTGAGATGAGCGCTGTCGCTGCGCGGCACTTGTTTATTATAGTAAGTAAGTTTTATGTGTTATAATAGTGTAGGCTGTGTAGCTGAGTTAATGTCCTGCCAATGGAATATTCTCTCCAACACAATGTAACAAACAATACGGAGAGTAGAATCACATCTACAGATAACATCTGTGCGACAATGTCAAACCAAAACAAAGGTTATTGATAAGAACTTAAAAATGAAGAACTTGAAAAAAAAAATTTCCGATAATCGATTATTTGTTTTCATAATCGATTATCGAATTTGAAACTAGAATCAATCAATTTCCGATTATAATCGATCATCGGGACATCACTAGCTATTTATAAATATATGTTTACTTTTTAATTGCAGAAGTTGAAGGTCAATTAGATGTATTTTTCGGTTGTTGTTTTGTACAATTCATTAATTAATAAATAGTGTACATTGTTTCAGGATAATTTGAATTTCCACCTGGTCAGGTAAATGTAGTTTTTGAAACCAAACCGAGAATCAAAACAAAACAAAAATACCAAAAACCGAGCCAAACGGAATGTACCGCCGCGATACAGTTGAGTTTCGGTTAATCGCTACAGCGTGAGAAACTAGCGGTCACCCAGTCGCCAGTGGCAATTAGAAAATCGACCGGGCGACTGCTTGATCGTGTCAGCTGGTCCGGCGCGGACCTCCTAAACCGCGAAATGACGCTTAATGACTCAAAATCATCATACATAAAATTAAATTAAATTAATTTTTTTATTAAATTGAAGTTAATTTGTTAAAGTATTAAATTAAATGGAAATGCTAATTATTGCTCTCTCTCTCTCTCTCTCTCTCTCTCTCTCTCTCTCTCTCTCTCTCTCTCTCTCTCTCTCTCTCTATCTCACTCTCTCTCTCTCTCTCTCTCTCTCGCTTTCTATCTCACTCTTTCTCTCTCTCTCTCCCTCCCCCTCTCTCTCTCTCTCTCTTCTCTTCTCTCTCTTATCTCTCTCTCTCTCTCTCTCTCTCTCTCTCTCTCTCTCTGTGTGCGTGCGTGCATGCGTGCGTGCGTGCGTGCGTGCGTGCGTCTCTCTCTCTCTCTCTCTTTCTCTCTCTCGGCACATTTCGCGGTTCAGTAGGTCCCGTCCGGCGGGGCGACTAGATAATCGCCGCACATGAAATAAAAAAATTACCAAACTGAGGCCATAATAAAAATGTTGTTTGTTTTACCTCACCCGACCGGCCCGCCAAAAAGGGGCCGACTCAAACATTCTCAAGTTTCTGTATGTGGCAGGCCTGCTGCGGCAACTGTACGTAGGCTATACTGGCTGGGCGGCACTGATTGAAGTAGGGGGGAGGGGCGAGTGCATTATTGATTGTTTCACTTTCAGCTGCGTGCCAAGGGCATGTACATTATTACATATGTAGGTGGTGGCCGGGCAGCGAAATTTTTTTCCCCACGAGAGTTCCGGACCCCAGCCAATCAGCGCACTCCATTCACTCGACTACCTCGAAGCAACAATGCAAAATTTATAACCTAACCCTTACCCTAACCCTAACACTAACTATAATACAACCAGGTCCGTCTTATATACGCACCATATATTACAAAACACTATCTGTGGTGGGTCCGAAACTCTCGTGGGAAAAACTTCGCGGCCGGGCACCGCTGGTATGAGAGCGCGACAGCAAAACTTTCCTGGAATTGGAAATCGCTATATTATAATTAAGATATTAAATAACTTGATTATGGATCTAACTCTGACAGATTAACTTTATTTTCCTTTCCAAACACTAATTATGTGCTAAGAAGATATTTATTATTTCTTAATTCAAGTTCCTTTTATTTTTAATGCTTTTATTTCCAGAATACGTGTATGTGCGCGTGCGTGCGTGATCTGGAAATAAAATCGTGCACAATTTAGCACTGATGAACAAAAGTTGTTAAAAGTATTTTATATGTATATTGTATCACTGTACAATGTACATTACATAAATCTGTAGGCAAACATAAAAGGTATCTCCACACAAGCACACCTGAGCACGTAGACACGTACCATTGCTGAATTTGTAAAAAGACCCCCTTCAAAAAAAAGAAGCCGACCTACCTACCCACACTTTTCAGCCTGGGTCGGGTGAGGGTAAACAAAATATTTTTTAATTGTGGCCTGTTTATTTCGTTATTCTCTACTAACCTTCTACATTATTCTAACGAAATTAATGTAATTTTAAATTTAAATTGGTAAATTTAATCAAATATAGACTAAAAATAGTCAAATTCCGAAGCCTAAAGTCCATGCGAAGTAGACAAACTCTCCATGTTTGTTGTGTTCGATTTTTTAGGTCATGCTGTTAAACCTCTGCTAATTCAATAATACTGGGCATTATGGTGGGTGTATGATCCAGATGAATGTAGTATTAACTATTATACTGTATACGATCATCATTAGGACTTTAATAATTAGACAACAGTTAACACAGTTATACTATGGGCAGGCATACAGATTGTGCGAGGTACCCATTAAAGGTTAGCATTATTCCATTGGCAAGTTACAGTGTTACATACACCTACATTGTCTGTCTCTGTCAAATCTAAGGAATTGTAGTACACTTTACAGGAGAGATAAAAAAAACTAGAATTCTCTTACCTGCTCCAACTGCCTTGAGAGCAGCTAGCGGTAGCTGGTGGACACTTGTCCGTTGGGGGCCATCTAGACAAGTCAGTTTAAATGTCAACGATGCTATCGGCCTTCTTCTGGGTGGTCTGCGGATAATTTCCCTCGTTGACTCCGCTGATCCACCTCTTCTCTGAAACGTCTGTCCCATCTCCAACACAACCTGGTCTAAATCGTTCGTTATGCGAGAATTGGCACCATTCAACGATGGAGTTGGCGGTCTGCCTCTTATGTGATTGTTTCTCATGTTTGATAACCTGGGGCCGGTTTCACGAAGCGTACTTAAGTATTGAATCGTGATTAAATCACTAATCATGATTAACTTCTCGTACTTAAATTAAAGTGAATGTTTCACGAAGCGTAATTAACTTTAATCATGATTAAGTTAATCACAATATTTAATTCTACTCAGGAGCATGATTAAATCCACTAATCATAATTAGTTGCTAGTACTAGAACTTAGAAGTAGGTATAGTACTAGTATATTAAGTACGCTGCAGATTTTCCAATTGGAAATTTTACTTCCATTTTTTCCCAAGGAAATTTAAATTATCTAAGATTTGCTGTACTACTTCAATCATTATAGTTACAAATTAATTCCTTTTCATGTACCGAACTTGAAGATAATTTTGGCGTATTGGTCCGCCATATTGAATACCGTGTAATTTGTTTTAGACTGGTACTCGCTCCCACCTTGATTACTCGCATTCCCATCGAGTAACTAAGCCGAGAGGGTAGCGAGTAACCAGTCTATTCATGTATAGTCGGCTAATTATGTTGATTAGTTAAATATGTACTTAAATCGCTTCGTGAAACAGATTTTTGAAGTAATGATTAGAACTAATCATAATTACGGGAACATTAAAGTATGGATTAGTGATTAATCATACTTAAGTTAA